ATCTTTTTCTTGATTTAGGCTTAAGTATTTTGCCGTTCATAATGGGCATACGTTTACAGCCGACCCATTGTCTACCAAAGTTAGAGGGATGTTGTATCCCTTGCATCCCACAGTTAAGTATAACGAATTGTTGCGGGTAATGTACTTTAAAGGCAAATCATCATTAGTGAAAACAATTGACTTGTCGGATTTCTCGCTAGTAAGAAAGCTAACGAGATCCTGAGGGGTTGTGTCTGTACTTACAGACAAAGCCGTTAGAGTGTTCATAAGAGAATTCCTATGTTCTTTAGAAGTACTTAGGAGTTCCTAAATGCTAACATTTGCCTTAGATTGGCGAAGTTGTTTGACCAATGGATCTTCCACCTCAAGTGGAGGTGGTATTGTATTTTGTGTTTGACCTTGAGTTTGATTTTGTGTGGTCGAAGATCCATTTGGTGGTGGTGCTTGGTAGACTCGCCCAGAACGAGTTAAATGATATATCTCATTTAGGTTAGTCATATGACTCATAAACCAACTTTCTTCTAGAGGCTTTGGATGTGCCTCCATTTGAATATACTCGATTAGTTGTGCTTGATGTCGTTATTCATCCAAGGAGAGATTCCATAAGTCTTGCGATTTCCCCAAGAACTGATTCCAATCAAGCATTCTATTTGTTTCATTTTGCAAACAAGATGGAGGTGGGACGACGACATACTTAGAGACATATAAGTCTTGAAAGTCGTCGTCCCATAGTCCACATACTTCAGTAGTTGCCCCTATGAGTATTGTGGATAAAGGTTCCCCTATGGGTGTGATATAGTCCAAAGGATTGAATGTGTCACTTCCCATATGGTCTTCCTCGACGTGAAACACCCCTAAGGGGGATGCATTATTGTTAGGTTTAGGCGTGGGAATTCTCCCATCGTCTACTAAATCTTGTATTTTGTGCTTTAAAACGTAGCAACGTTCAGTATCGTGTCCAACGCCTCTATGATAAGCAAAATAAGCACTACCATTCTATTGAGGAAACCTCTTTTCTAGTGGAGTTTGTGGTGTCGGCCCTGTTGGGGAAAGTAATCCTTTTTCATTTAGTTTTTCTAGCAATTCTTTATAGCTTACAGGGAATGGAGTAAATTTTCTCTCTTTTGTCTATCTTTTCCTAGGATCATCATATCGATTCGTGTTATTGTATTGCGTGGAAGTCGCAAATACATCAATAAAGGATGATGCATTATCATTACCCTTCTTGTAGTTATTCTTAGGTTGATGATGATAATGAGGTTTGTTTGCTTTTTCCTTAGCAAGATCATCGTTAATCTTAGTAGCCATAGAATAGACCTTTTGAAAAGTGTCTAGACCAAGGTAACGTAGATGTTTGTTGTAATTTTCATGACAATTTTCAATGAATATTTGTACTAACTCGAGTTCATCAGGCCTTTGGGCAAGGTGGGCTGCCTTTTCTCGCCATCTACCATAGAAATCAAGGAAACCTTCATCGTCGCATTGCTTAAGCATCTCGAGTTCACGTAAAGTTGACTTGAAATCTACGTTACTCTCGTATTGGGTGATGAAAGCCAAAACTACATCTTCCCATGTTGCTTTGAATTTTAGATCTAGCCCATAATACAACTCTCTCGCGGTTGGGTCTAGTGATAAAGGGAAAGTCAAAGCATAAAGCTTAGGATCAACTCCTTTTAGTGTCATAGTGCCAGTAAAACACATTAAATGATTTTGTGGATTATTGGTCACCTTAAATATTGGCAAGTTCGTAGCGACAAACTTTTCTGGTAAAGCAAGTCATGGGGGAGGAGCAAACTTTTTTGCGTCAAACTACTTGTTCCCCATTGTAAAACGAAGAACTAGCTTCTCTAACGACTTTTCTTTAATGGATAATTGCTCCATCTTTTCTTGTAAGGCTAATGCTTTAACTTTTTTCTTTTCAGCATTTTCCATCTTCTGAATTCTCCTCTCCTCGGCCTCTTGAGCCTCTTCCTCTCTCATACAAAGAATTTCTTGTTGAAGTTCTTCAACAGATTTCATTGTTGTTGGACTAGGATTATTTGTCGAATGAAAGTGGTTTGAAAGGGGTTGATCTTTGGGTGGTAAACATAGAATGCGAGTGCCCGCGGGTCCTCATTCCCAAGCTTGAAAACCGGCCCTAAAGGAGTACGAAAGGATAAGTAAATCGATACGCTTGCTTTTGAAAGGAAAAAAAAGAAAGAAAAAAGACGTAAAATATACTCAAACGGATAACATCGCACTTAACAATTATTCAATGAAGATATTGTTCAGACGAGTCAATTTGTTTTTTGAGAAATAAAAACTGACTCATCCAGTGGGCGCGCGCAAGTTACTCAGTTGCGCGCGATTGTCGCGCGCAACAAAATAACTTGCGCTGGGAGGGGTCGCGCAACTTCTTGAGTTGCGCGCGCCACCCATTTGTGTCTCCCAAAACCAAACCCAGTGATGAGTACCTTTCACGTCGAATCATAATCGAATTAAGTGAAAGTGTGGAAATTTTAGTGTTACGGAAAGTTTTAATTTCTTTTCTCTTCTCTATGTTTTTGAAAACCTATTTTAAGAAAACGGCCAATCAAGTTTGTTTGGTCCATGATATGGGTCCAATAATAGTGTAGTTGGATGGGGTTTGAAAAGAGCTTTCCAACGATATATTTTAAGCCCAATTATGATGAATATTGAGGAAATTATGGTCAAATTACTAAACTAGGCCTGGTTTGAGCCTTATATGCGGCCCAATGATCTAGAGGAGGGCCTAATATAGATTTATCATTCCTAATGCAATTAGGAATGATTTTAGTCTTCTAGAAGGTTCTTTTCATTCCTAATTCGATTAGCATTGATAAATTGACTTTTGACTTTTTAGAAGTTTAATCAGAATCAAAAAAACGTTTTTTGAGCAAAATACGATTTTATCCTCCTGTACGGCAATTTCTATCTGATTTTAAGAAAACGCGTGAATTTCCAGATCAGCGCCAAACGCCAGCTGTAGCGCCTGACGCTACTCTTGGCGCCTGGCGCTAGCCTTAGCGTCTGGCGCTAAGGTCAGCGTTTGGCGCTAACTTGGCTTTTTGAGTGAGAATTCTGTTTTTGATGTTTTATCTTTTTGGCTGATTTTCTCTATAAATAACGTGCTAAAAACTCCGTTTTGACTCACCAACTCTCATCAAGATATTCTTGATTACTCTCTCTCTCTCTCTCTTTTCTAAACTAGCCTTTTCTCAAATACAAAAACCCGCATTCGTAAGACTTAGATACACCTAGCCATATTCGAAGTTGCCTTCGCCCTAGACATGAAAGGTTTAATTTATGAGGGTTTGGTCCCAAATCTCTCTTTCAATTTAATTGTTTTGTTTATTATTTTCCTTGAAGTTACTAATGTGTGTATTTTGTTATTAGAAAGAGGTACGAGGCATCCAAGTAAGTTCTTTAATTGTTTAATTGATATTTTGATATAGAAATCATGTTTAAGTTATTATTTTGATTCCTAGTATCATGTTTAGGGTAATTTCTAATATCAAGTACGATTAAAAGAATGATTCCTAGTATCATGTTTAAGATAAATAATAAGTTCCTTAAATCAAGTATGATTGTTATGATGCTTCCTATTTTCTTTCCTAATATTCATGTTAGTATCATGTTAGGGCTATATATTTGATCTTTATTGCTTAGTGACATGCTAGGGTTTGTTATTAATCTTGTTAGAATCATGCCTAGGATCTTGCTATTATTATTATGCTTTAACATGATTATTTTAATTATGATTAAAATTTTATGATTATTATTATTATGGTTATTATTATAATTATTATTATGTTGCTTGATATTTATTTTTATTGCTTGATCACACCTTTTATGCATGTTTAAAGGGAATTGGTACTTGTAATCACGCTTAATAAGATAATTATTAATCTTGTTAGGGTTAATTTGATTATAATTCAAGTGATCGCCAATAATAGTTTTGTTTGTGCATTAATATTCAACCAACATAGATAAACAGGTTTAGGGTTAATCCTATTGATTGTATGTTAGTCAGAAAGCACACATGAATACGATCAGAATAAAGTAGAGGCATATTATTAGGGCAAGTTCAATCTCTTTTAGGTTGGATTTGTACCTTCATCTTCGAACTACCAGTCATGGTTCCAGACCTATTGGAGTTAACGATCTCTTGGGTCGTTAAGGGGTGTAACCATCACCTCGTGAATGGTTTACAAGTTCCTAAAACTTGTTAACGACTCTTTTGTTCTATCTTCTTTCCCTTTGGACGCCACCGTACTTTAGTGTATGATCACAGTGGAGTTCAAGTTTGGGGTAATTCTTGAAATATTCCCTACACATACATTTGCCATTATTCACAAAATATACACAAGACAAGCTTGCGTACAAAAGGAACCAATATCCATACTTATATACCACAATCTCCAATAGCATTACCATTTGCTTCACAAAAACCAAAAATAGAACAAAATGAAACAAAAGGCTAAAACTTCTAAAGATGTGGCTTGAAAAGAAAGAAAAAGGCTCAAATGGTTAACAGAAGGCAAATATAAACCCAATGAACTAAAAATAAATAAGATTATCCTAGAAAAAGAAAAATTACCACCCCGAAAAGTTGCCTTTTCACTACTACAAAAAAGGGCAGAGAGACCTGTTAAAATATGCATGACAGGCCACCTTTTAATGGGTCTCTATCTCAGGGGTATCTTTGATTAAGAGACCCCCTCTCATGAGGGGTCTGTTTATGCGGACAAAAAGACCCCCTGTCAGTAATAACAGGTCTTATCTAAGTGATGAGGTTGATAATTTAAGAGAGAAAGAGACCCGTTGTTTAAGATATGGGGTCTGTTTAGTTGTATGAAACAGACCTGTCAAGTTAGCTAATGGGTCTCTTTGTTCTTTTATTCTAAAAAAAATAAATAATTTTTTTATGGTTTGCCTCTAAATTATTTAGCCCTTCCAAATTCGGAAAGAAAATGTAAATTACAAAATGGAACAATAAAATAAATTAAAGAAATTGCAAATTAAAAATAAAACAATTAAGATAAATTTCCATAAACTTATATTATAATTGAATTTTCTAGTAAGATTTACAAATCTATAAGAACAATAATTTACACATATATAAGACATTAAGGAAATAATTTACAAGTATATGAGAACTTATAGAAATAATTTATAAGTTACCAAAACTAACATTTTCTTATCCATCATGTCAAAAAAAAAAAAAATTCCAATCCTTTGATACGACAAGTGAATGCAACATTTCCTTGGTAAATTCTTTCCATTCATAATCATCAGCTTAGCGAGTTTCATGAATTGCTCATCCTCCTGTACACCATTAGAGAATCAATTAAAAAAAAAAAAAGCTCAAAGGCATGTAATTCAAGTTAAAACCTAGACATCAACACCATAAACAGAACCTTGTCAATTGATTTAGCAACAAAGCATATCTTCCTCTACCTTCATATAGCTTAATGCAGTTGACTAATTAATTAATTTTGTCACATAATCTAGCAACAATCAGATTATTTCTTCTCCCATGGATTTTCATCAATAGCAAAATTAAGGGGATCGGATAATATAAAATCAATTTAAACATACGTTATACAAAATCAACTCTTGGGCACCTAAATCACTCCTATCATCCAACATAAACCTTGAACTATCCCAACGTATCTGGGCATGTTCAGCTTACTCATACAAATTACCAATTTTGAATTTCCCATCAACTAATCACAATCCACCCATCAAACCACCGCAACAGCACAATTCTAACACACAATAAAACCGAATTAAAATTTCACAAGTTACAAAATTAGGGCACACTATAAAAAAACACCACAAAACACAAAAAAAAAACCCAACCTTAACAACAGCAAAACTCAATCGCCGCTTCAGAGAAGGCTCGTCCTTTGAGTTAAACCTTTCACCTTAATAAATAATAGTAAAAATAAAAAAAATCCCTTACTTGATTCAACTAATACTTGCAGAAAACATAATCCAGAAAAAAAAAAACAAAATTGAAGAACATACTGGTCGAGTGAAAAGGACGTTGATTAGGCACATTATTCCTTTGAGCATTGCCTGAGAATCAACCAAAACGAAGTCCTCTTGGATCCCTAATACACTCTGTAATAAACCAAAAGTACACCAACCTCTGTAAAAACCCAACCCACATCAACCTCTGTAACAAACCAAAACTACGCCAACCTCTGTAAAACCCTAGCCACCAACGAAAAAAACCAAAAATTACCCAGTCTAACCAATAACCACCTCCATTAAAATAGCTTTTCAACAACCAAAACACTTTTTGGAATATTCAAATTAAATTGATGAGAAAACATACCTTTTCATGACTAATTTTATTGAGGCGTTATTTGGGCAAATTTGACCATGAGACTCTAGATCTAGGGTTTTATGGTCAAATTTGACATTTAAAACCTCAAACTTGAGTTAAATAGAGGCAACGCCAGCGTAAGACAAGGATGCAGCGACGTCGTAAATAACGAGGAGGAAGCGGCGCGATTAATTGCGGTAGGAGAAAAAGAAGAACGAGAGATAAGATGAGAGGAGACCCAAGTGATCAAGGTGATAGAGAGATCGGCGCATAAGGGGTATTGAGGAAAGATATAAAGAAGCTTAAGAATAATATAATGAATAAGAAATGGGAAAAATTAAAAAAAATATCCTAAGGTTGTGGTGGGCCATCACGCATATAAGAGACATGTTGAGTTATACAACAGGTCTCCTATTTTCCTCCTTCAATCTCAAATAAAAAAGTGGTGGGCCCCTTGACTCTTAAGAGACCCGTTACCTCTCATATTAGGTCTCTTATATCACAGAGACCCGTTATATTAACCGACAGGTATGTTATTATAGGTCTCTTATCACATTTTTGTAGTAGTGTTTGTCCTTCCTAGTTGGTTCGGTCTCATGTTTGAGAATTATGAGTCACGATTCAAGATTAGATCCGCAATAGTCAAGGATCCAAGCCGCTCATGCAAGATATGTAGAAGGCTTGAAAATCATGAAACCTCGCAAGGTTGTGGCAAAAGCTCACTAAAAGCTTCAAATTCACCAAAAGGGAGCAATTGCAAATTTTCAAAAACAAATAGATTTTGGCTTCAAGGTACCTAAAGTTCTAATCGACTACCTTAGCATACTCTATCCTAGAATCAACCAAACATACTCTCAAATCGTGCACACCGTTACTATTTAAGAAGAAAAGCATTCAACTATGCAAGTCTAAAAGTATTATGTCCAAAGCAAGAACAAAACAAAGATACATTGCAAATTTGCCTTGATAGAAACAAAATTTTTTTTGGAGTTTTTTGAAAACATAAGAACATGGAAAAGAATATACAAATGTGCCTAGCATATGTGAATCAACATCCCATCAAACGTGATAGAATACCCTCCCCCAAGCTTGAATGAGACAATACAGTCAAACATAAATCATAGAAACCATGGGAGGGGAAAACAAGGAGATCAATCCAACAAACCAACATATGTCCAACAAGTCATCATCCACTTGAGAAAGAGCAAGTAAGGATATTACCGGATATTAGGTGGGTGTAAATACCTGCAAATGATCCAATTAAATCTTTCAAAGCTAATTTCCTACAGAATTGAACCTTGCCTTTCATATGCTAGCAATAATAGGATTTAAACTTCCTTGATACTAGATCCAAATCGAAGCACCAAAGTATATCAAGTCATGTACCTAGAAAAAGGCATACAAACATTTCCATGAGAGAAAATCTATTCTAAAAAGAAAAGAAAATGAAAGCAATAAAACACAGGTTACTTTCCGAGAAAGGCTTGCTTAAGGTCCAAGCTTGACCGCTCTAGAAAATAATAATTCAACGCATGCAAGAGCTTGTCAAATGCACTACTACACATTTCGTAAGAGATAAGGTAGGAAAATGACGGGAAAAGGACGTTCATCAAGACTGTTACAGGAAAGTGAGAAGGGAGATGCCAAAAGAAAGAAGAAGAGGGATCAAAAGGAAAAACAAGAAAATAAGAAGAAGAAGGGGGAATAAAAGAATGGAAAGAAAAAGAAAAAGACAAATCCTCCTCACTAAAATATTTTTGGGTGGCAACATCACCCTTTTCCTCAACAATAGACGAATGAGGGACATTATGATCATCATAGACAAGGGGGTCCTCAATAGGCTCTTTGAGATAGGAAGGGAGAAAAATAGGGCAAGAAGGGATGTGGTCAAACCGTTGAGAAAAAGGGGTATGAGAAATAGGCAAAGGGGTAGCTACTCCCTCATCACAAGGTCTCACATCTCCAATGAGAGCATGAAAATCAATCATAGAGTCCTCAAATGAAGATCTCTCACAATATACATCTCCCTCAAGCTCAATAACTCCAAGGGAATCACCCTCATCCTTCTTTGCACCACAACAAACCACCTTTCCTTCAACAATCTCAAAACCTAAGTCCTCAAAACCGTGCATGAGTGGAGGTAGAGTCATTGTAAACACATCTAAATCCCAATATGCTTTCTCGATGAACTCATCCAAGAATCTATAAATCTCCATATGACTTTCACAAAACAAATGGGACATTACCTCAAAAGAGTCTATGTATTCATAGATTGAAGGCTCACAAACATAAACTTGAGGCTCATCAAGATAAGAAAGAGCGTTAGGATTTTCAAATTTAACTATCTCTTTATTCTCAACTCCTTCACCATCACTCATATGCTCACCAATGGGATCCTCACACTCTCTTGGTTGCTTAAAATTATCATCATCACCCTCAACACACACATTGGATAGAGATTTTTCACGAACAAGCATTAAGGATGACAATTGGCTTTCTAGCTCTTTACCTCTCTTTCTTCCCTCCTCAAGATGCTCTACACTCTTTTTCATCACCTCCAATTGACTTATCAAAGAATTAAGAATCGACTTCTTTTTACGCCCAAGATCATCACTAAGCTTAATATGCCTAATTTGAGTTTCCAAAGTAGCAACAAGAGATTCAAAAGGTGTAGAAGATTGAGGCTCAACAAGAGAAGAATTACAACCAAGATTGGAAGAGTCAACATTGAAATGATGAGAATATACATCACATTGGGGTGTGGGGGCCCAATCAAACATATGAGATTTGTCAACTAGAGCATGCACTTCATTATCATGAACAAAAGAGGAAATAGAATTGGAAGCATTTGTTCTAGGTTCACTAATGGGATCATGTGATACATCATGGGAAATCATGCTAGCATTAGGAGAATTAACACATTGCACATCAAAATTAGAAGTACGATTACCTCTAATATTAACATCACTAGAAAACCAAACATAGAAATCCCAAGCATCACCAATTGACAACTCTCTAAATCTACCATTATGCATGCATTCATCTTCATTCCTAGTTTGTTCATTCAAACCAAAATAACAAATCTCACAAGCCTCCTAAAGACTACATCAATGGTAGTCAATAAATCCCACTAGTCTATATAAATATTCACAAAAAGGATCATTGTTATATTGAGGAAAAGATAGACATGCCATTTTTTTCTTCACAAAACAAACAAAAATCAAATAAAAGAAAAGCATATACAAAGACCTAGACTCAAGCAATAAAAAACACTCAAACATAGGCACCGTTCCCCGGCAACGACACCATTTTGACGAGAGGTGGAACTAGGTCGTTGAAACTAATCCTCCCTCGATCAAACTAAATTTATAAACACTTAACAAACCTATATACAAGTAAAGAGGCAAGTCAGGGGTCGAACCCAATGGTATGGTAATGTTCAAGCGCTCTCAATTATGCACCTAAGCTAGGTTGAAGTCTAAGGATAAAAGGTAAACACTATAACAAACTAACAAAATGAAGAATCAAACAAATAAACACTAGGAACGAGGATACAAGTATTCATGACAATTGTAGCAACTCGGAAATACATGCAAGTCAATGGGTGTGAAGACTAATGGCAAGCTCAATCAAAAGAGTCAACAAGCTATCTCCTAGAGGTCAAACTAGCGCCAACTACGAGAGACTGTAACTAGGAGCATCACTAATCAAGCTCAATCGACAATTGCAATCCCTAAATCAATGGTCCGTATCATTAGAAATTAAAATGCAATCTAGCATAATTCTCAAGGCCTAATCGAATTACACACATGCAAACTTTCATTAATCACTTTAATCTCAACAATTAATCAACACAATCCCCAAATTAAGAACAATCAATCAATCATAAAAGTTTCAGCCTATCCCTAGCAAAACAACTACTCAAACATCATCATCTAGTCACAAACAACTAAAGAAATCAAGAATCATCAAGTTTATAGAGAAAAATTACACTAATCAACAATCAAACATCAAAATCAAATCAAACAAATATGAAATCAAACAAAGCAATAAAGAGGTGAGAGAGTGAGAAATCCTCATTGATTGATAATGGAGATCTTCAATACAATTGTCATCTTGAATCTTTAACCTCTCAAATAACCATTGAAATTCCTCACTTTCTCTCTCTAAAATCTAATCCTAAAACTAACCCTAAAACTAGAGAGAGAAGCCCTCAATTAAGCTAAGAAAATGAATTCTAATTCTAATCTAATTCTAATTCTCATTCTTCTCTCTCTAACCCAAAAATGGGTATATATAATTACGAGGATTAAATGAAAAATAAAAGATTAAAAGAAAAATAAAATAAAAGAAAAGAAAATAAAAATAAAAGTAAATAAGAAAAGAAAAGTAAAAAGAAATAAAAAGAAAAGAAAATTAAAAGAAATAATCCCCAAAATAACGAAGTAAGTGGACTTCGAATTTCGCTGCTCCCAAATTATAAACCATGCTTCGCACAGCCATCATCCAAATCATAAACCATCACAACCGTTCGATCATCGAAATCAACGACCCTAATTCATACCTAGCTGTGCACGACCGCGATGTAAGGTTGTGCGCCCGCGGTGAATGTGAGTGTGGCCGCGTTAAGTGAGGTTTGACTTGAGCTTGTTTGCGTGACTCTGAGTGCGGTGGTCGGAACAGGGGAGCTGCTTTGTGGCTGCGGTTTACGGAGGTATAAGGTGGCGATGGTGGCTGCTTCTTGGTGTAGGTGCTGAATTAAAGGTTGCGGCTGGTCGGTGTTTGTTGCGGCTGGAGCAGGGGAAAGCAGGGGAAGCTGCTATATACTGTTGCGGGAGAAGGGTGGTTGTGGCTGGTTGTGTGTGCTATGGCTGGTGTGAGTTGGTGGTGTCGGTCCTGTTAGGTTGTTGTGTTGCGGGAGTTGATTGGAGTTGTTGTTGTATGGTGGAACAGGGGAACAGGGGAAACAAGGGAGTTTAGGTGAATGGTGAGGTTGTTGGTAGGCACGAGCATCACCCTCGTAGCGTGATCGTGATGAACACTAAAGTAGGCAGTCCATAAACACCATGATTATGGGTTCAACAATGCCCGGCTTGAGAGCGCGGCTTTGCAAGCACAAGGAGTTAAACTTGGAATATCCACCTACAAAAAACAAATGAAACCAAGGATAAAATGAAGTAAAATAAACTCAAAATTAACAAACAAAACTAAGAGAAATAAAATGAAAATGAAAAGAATAAAAGAAAGAAAACTATATAAAATGAAAAGAAAATAAAGAAAAAAAATGAAAAGAAAAAAAATGAAAATGAAAATAAAATAAAATAAAATGAAAACTAAATCTATAAAATCTAAAATAAAGGAAAAACAACTAAAATAACGAAAATAAAACAAATAAAGGAGA